TAATTAATTATAACGATTAATTAAAATACGAGTCATTTTTAGCGATGCGTTCCCTCTCCCAGAGCCTTTCTCATCCCATCTTCCGTTACCCTTTCTACGCATACAATAGGCGGTTCCACTATTCCGAGAACTCTCCGCCTATTGCTAGCCCAAAATGGGGGGCCTTCCCTATATAAAGAGCTCCCGGAGGGCCCACAGATCAGACAGCGGGTAGCATTAGAAGTAGTAAGTCTTCCGTATTGCCTCTAGGCTTTCGAGTTGACTTACTGCTTAGTAGTTCAGAATAGGAGTGCGGGTTCTCTTAATATTGTAAGACACACACTGTGTCAAGGCGTCTACCGACACTTGGTCGAGTAGTTTGTTAATTTTCGTTTCATCTGCTGTACTCAGCGAGTCCGAGCAGTCTACTGTTGGGGTCTGCGCCGGCCTTTCGAACAGCCGATCACGTTGCGTGAGTAAGTGAACCTAAGATTTTTCGACTGTACTCGGTCTGCCTCATTATTTAACAGCATATTATACTCTTAATTACCGTATACGCTATTATTATATACTGTGTAACATAACCTAACTTATATCTATTATGCCTCGTGAATCTTGAATATTATAATAAAGCTTGTGAATTCAAACTCCTCCTTATTTTCTCTTACACCTTATTCATACCCCTTATACCGTGTTCACACCTCTTACACTTTATTCACACCTCTTACACCTTATTCACACCTCTTATACCTTATTCATACTCCTTATACCGTGTTCACACTCCTTATACCTTATTCATACCCCCTTATTACTTCTTTGACTCTTACCCTCTTTTTCTTATCTCTTACTCTTACTCTGGAGCCGTGTGGGCATCAACGAGCGTTGGTATTGTCCGGCCGCTTCCTTTCGTGATTTGTTTCGTTATTCGATCGAGCGACGATCTATAGTAACGACATTTCACCCTATCTTTCTTTCTGTGTGAGTGAGACCCGGCGCAGTGCACGGTGTATGCGAGCACCGTCTGTGTCAAGTGTGTGTCTGAAAGACTGTATTTCTTTCTTCCTTTGACCTAGCGTCTGTCTGGCGGTGCAAGCAAGCGCTGTGCCGTATCGAGGCCGCTTTTGATTTCAATCCTTGTGACAGTACTGTACGCTTTGTAACAGTGCGGGCTACAATTCGTGGATGTGTGAGTTGGTTAAACCATCGATCATCCGTGTTGAGCGGCCTGCCTGCAAACTACTATTCACGGACGTGTCAGAATTGGTGAAAACCATCGACCGACCGTGTTGAGCGGTATTCGTGGACGTGTCAGAGTTGGTGAAAACCATCGACCGACCGTTGAGCTGCCTGTCACCCTAACCTCTATCTAGAGTCTGTCTGGTGACACAAGCAAGCGCTGTGTCATATCGAGGCCGCTTCCTTGTGTTTTGAGTGTGTATCTGGAAGCCTGTCATTTCTTTTCTTTATTTCACCTTTCTCTCTTTCTTTCCTTCCTTTTTTTTCTATTTCACTCTTGAACTAGTGTCTGTCTGGCGGTGTATGCAAGCGCGACACCGTATCGAGACCGCTTCCTTTCGTGATTTGTTTCGTTATTCGATTGAGCGACGATCCATAGTAACGACATCTCACCCTTTCTTTCTTTCTTTTTT